TGTATATATATATAATATATATATATATATATATATATATAGCAAACCACACCTAAACAATTTAACACAACACTGCTACCCACATGTGCCATTCATTGTGACACACAACATACACCCAATATACTGCTGCTATGCACCCATGGCGTATCTGTAATACAATGTCATGTTTTCACCTTCCACAGACTACGCGCGAGGCTACAGAGACACAAAGCCGTTCAGACACAGCCGATACGACTAAGGACACCAGGACAGACGGTAAAGGGACTGAGGACGCCAGGACAGGTGGCCCAGAGGCCGGAGTGGTGGTGCACCCCACAAAGGGTCCTGGTAGCAATATCGCAACGGTGCCTACCAATCACCACACGTCCAGAAGTACCGAACCGACGACAACAGCCGAGCGGGCCGAGACTATGTCGGGGATGGAGCATAAGCCCTCGGATTCAACCGACACGGCAGGGGCCCAGTTCCTTATTCGCTCATTTCTATTGGAGCTCGCGAGTATCGAGCACATACCATTGGATGATATAAATAGCCACACCACCTCGGCGCAGGCACCGGCAACCGGCACACTCGAGGAGCAGTTTGAACCAGACTACTACAAGCCAGCCAAAGTGCGCGAGCGCAACACGCCGAAGGAAAACAGACCGCGGCTACGCCCTTTTCTCATCCACGAGGTACGTCAGGCCGCTCTACAGTGTCTGAGTGTGTGTCTGCTGACGGAGGATGCCAAGGACACCCCACCCACAGATGGGATAACCGCTGCCACGCAGCAACCACCACATGCACAAGAAAACACACCGACGAACGGCCGTAGGTATGAACGACTGCGTGGGTGGTGTCCATACACCACAGCACACGACACAACAACCGCACGAGCGTACGAGACGCTGCTCTCTGCGTATGTGTGGCGTGTGGTGCCTGCGGTGCACGGGTGCATGCGTGGCAGTGGCCCACACCCCACACGCCACGCCGGGATCACTCAGTACCCGGGCACCAATCCAGGTGCACCCCATACGAGTACAGACAGGGCTGTGGCCAGTACTGGATTTCAGGACAATTACTGTCCTCCGCTAGTGGCCGATGACATGTCCGCACGGTCTCTGACCGTGGTTCTGGAAACGCTGATGGCGCTCGCGGGGTCGTCCGTTGTCCGTTGCCATGGCAACCACACAGCGGGGCCTGGCCCGGGCGGCCACAAAGGTACCGCAGCGACCATCTCTAGCAACACCCCGGCCACCGCCGCACCTAACTCACAGGAGAAAGGACCGCTCACACCACCACCCCAGCCGCCACAGCCACCCGTGTGTCTGTACGCGTGTGGACTCACGGCCCTCCGCCATCCACTAACCACAGCCGACACACACACACTGCACCTGCGTGCCCTGCAGTACTTGTCCACGTGCGTGTGCTTGTACCACCACACCGCAGCGCGTGCGCATTCGGAGGTGTCTGGTGTATCGGTGAGCATGTCTCTGTCCAGTGATCACCGTCGGTCTGTTTGGGTGTACCGTGGCCGTGCCGGGGCTGACCCAGGCGAAACCGGGGGATCTGATTGGTCCACGTGTGCGTGTAATTGCGTGCTGCAGACCATATATAGACTGGTGCAAGCGCTGATGGAGTACGAGCGCGTCTTGACCATGGATGGCAGCCTTCCGTTTCCTGACGACATTGCGCATACCACTCACGGCACAGATGCGGAAGAGAATGAACGACAGGCACAGTATGTTGT